AAAAAATAAGTTCAAAAAAAAAAAAAAAAAAAAAAAAATTAAGAAAAATAAAAAGAAAAATAACAAAAGATAGGAATAACTATTACTTATATGAAAAAAAATATATATAAAAAGAAAATGAAAGTAGGAAAAAAAAAGTAGAAAAAAAGATAATTAAAATAGAACATACTATTATAACTTATGCTAAGGCATAAAAATTAAAAATTATTTATAGTACTAATCAATATACTATAAATCTCATATATAACTTCTTATTAGCTATCATTCTATTTACTAAGCAGATCTGTGTTAGCTTCATATATGTTAATCAACTTATAAACAATTAAGATATAACTTGTCTAAAATAGAACATGATATGAGTGTAGATTCTTTGTTAGAAGTGAGCTAAAATTCCTACTTTTTTATCAAAAAAATAAAAAAAAGCTACAGTCATTGTATTAGTATTGTTAGTCAAAAGATATAAGAGATTGTTTGCAGAAACAAGTTACAGAGTAAGAGAGTATTGAAGTATTTGTCCTAATACAAGATAATGTTTGTTATTTCTTCTTCTTGTTTTATCTTTTTCTTTTTAAAACACTATAATGTAAATTTTTAATTAAAATAATAGTATTATTACCTACTAAGTTTTTCTGACTCTTATATAAAGTTTACTGAGCTATACAACTCGTGCTTCTATTTAATAGCTACTATTTTGCTGAGTTTCTTAGAGTTAAAGATTATTTTGTATTTAAAAAATTTTTGCTTTGTAATAGTTTAAGTGATTAGTGAGAAAAATATTAAAAATGAGTAATAACTAAAATTGTATATGTAACTAGTTATATATTTATTATATAATTATAAACTTTAATAATTAACTATATATAATTCTATATACTTAAATTAATAAAAGTTTAATTAGCTAAAACAATAACTTTAACAACAAAAAAAAAAATTACATAAACTTTTATAATATTTATATAATCTAATTATAGCTTTTTATATTTTTTATTAGTTTTCAATTAGTTAAATTCTTTTAAATCTAATTAGTTACTAAACTAAATTAATATAAAATTTTTAAATTATTTAAAAATATATATATTATATTTATAATAAAAAATATAAAGCAAATTAAATTATATAACTTTACTTATAATATTTTTTGTTGTTTTATAATTAAAATTTAAACTTTTATTAATAGTAAAATAAAAATTTCTTTTTAAAAACGTAAAAAATTTAAAAATTTTTTTAATAATAAAATTTTAAAATAAATCAAAAATTCTAATAAATACTAATTAAACAAATATTAAATTTTTATTTTAGCTTAAAAAAGAAAAGATTTATCTTTAATAAAAAAATTTTAGTAAGCAAATTTGTTTATTAGATAGTTTAAAAAATAGTTGAAATTTTTTTTTTTAAAAAAATAAAATATAATATAATAAATAAATTTTTTTTTTAAAAAAAAATAAAATATTTTAATTTGTTTTAATTAAAAACTTTATAATAAACTACTTATATAATATAACTTATAAAAATTATTATTATTAAAAGTTTTAAAATACGTACTACGTGTACAAAATAATATATATATATAAAACTACGAAAAAAATAGATTTATTAAATCTAAATTTTATCGCTATTGAATAAAATATTTTTGTAATATAATTAATTCACAATGTAAAATAATAATAATAAGTTAGTCTTTTTAAAATAAAATTTTTGACATGTATTACGTAGTAATAAAAATATATATGTATATATCGATATGACACAAGGCATATAATGATAATTATAAAAAAAAGGTATAGAATGGTTTAACTTTACGTACACACAAAAAATTTTATACGTACGTAGGCTACGTAGAAATTTGTATTACTTATTAAAAAAAAAAAAAATTACGTTATTATTACGTATTTTAGTATTTAAATATTAAAAATATGGGATTTGTAATTACTAAACTTTAATTCATTAATCAGTATGGCAATTACATGTGTTTAACGAAATGAAATTTAATTGGAGAATAAAAATAGAAAAAAATAGAAGGAGAAAGATATTTATAAATTATATAAACTGGTATTACCGTAACAGTAAATCAGAATGCAAATTGTAAATTCAATATGTTTGTTTTAGTAGTTAATACACAGAAAAGTAGTACTACATACAGTAAGTAGTACTACTGTGATTGGATGTACATTGAAAGGCTAATCACAACGACAATCATACAGCTGATGAACCGCAAATACCCTAAATTGGAGACTAAAAGTAGATAAACATCATTTATTTATGAAGGTTTGATTTATAAACAATGCGTTTTTCAATTGTCGACGCAGTCGGTAAATGCTCTTTGGAGTTAGGCTTATAAAGTGTATCAGTTTGTAAAATCATAGGTCTATGATTAGACGTTTTTCGAATGAAATTATAACAAAACTTAACAGACATCTGAAACGGAAACTATTATTATTATGTACATATTTACATACTTATGCTCATTTCTTTGTTCTCCTGTAACACACAAAGCAAACTCAATTCGTTGAAACAAATTTTATTGTTCGAAAGTCAAGTAAGTCGCATAATTTTGCAAGAACAAAAACAGAAAAGTCCTTGTTAAGTTCTAGGTCTTTACGTCTATTGTCAACAAAAAAGAAAGCACAAAATTTTTTCTTCACACTTTTCCAAAACTTTGATCTCAACTTCGATGACACCCTTGCAGGTTTATAATTGTATGCCAATAATGAATTATTCCACTAAAATTTTTATACATTTTTATACATCTTTTATACATGCATAATATTATGATGTCAATTGCAGAAAAATGTTGTCTTGAAATCTAAAGTTGGGGCTGAGGGAACGATTTACCCATCTGTAAAACACATCATACGATTAAAAATGATTTGAATTTATTAGGCAAAAACTAATGAATTTTTTTTTTTTTTTACGAGTTTATTCTTTACATTGTGTATAATACTAGAGTTATAATTTTATAATTATGCACAATTACTTAACGAATAGTATTTCCCTTTATAGATTGCATATGTCCAGAATTTTTTTTTTTTTTTTTGAAAGAGTCATTCTCTAAGATCGAATTTATATTCGAATTTTGTATTACCTACTCCCGAAAGACGCAATAAAAATATTTCCTTAGACGGAAAAGCCCCGAATATATCTCCGACAGGTTTTGTGCTATACAAAAAAGATGTCCCCCCTAAATTGGTCCTAAATTGTCAATATTTTTAGATTACAGGTGATACTATAAGTATTAATGAAATATGCAAATTATATATAAATAGGGCTTCATCGTAAGTGTCACCCGCTCATTGAAAATTCAAAAAAAGACATTTATTTATATTTTTATCTCTAATGTGCTATTCTTAACCGAATTTTAAAACATTTCATTTCTCTTGTCTACCTACCTATCAAGTTTTATTATAGCTTGTGGTAAAAAAAGAATAAGCTCTCACAAACACGTCTATCAATTTTAGCTTCGAGCTTTTGATAATTTTTTTTTTTTTTTTTTTTTTTTTTTTTTCTAAATTTTTTAAAGTAAGTATTTTCATGAAAATTTTATTGTCTTTCCTTATTTTTATTTCGTTCTCCTTTATTTTTTTACATAAGGATTTTTCTTTTTTTTTAAAAAAAAAAATTATCGATATACAAACAAATAATTAAATCTTGAATTCGACCTTACCTTCGAGCATTGGAATTACATGATTTAATTTTAAATTAATGAAATAATGTAATAATGTTAACATTATCGTTTTTTCCTTTTTTTTTTTTTTTTTTTTTTTTTGATAGTTAAAAAAAACGAGACATGGGCCGCAAGAAGATTCAAATTAAACCCATTAAAGATGAAAGAAATCGTCAAGTAAGTAATTTTCATAAACCATAACCATATGAAATGTTTATCGTTTTCATTGAATTCATTTAGAATTTTATTAATTAACTCCGTATTGCATCAGGTGACTTTTTTGAAGCGCAAGTATGGACTTATGAAGAAAGCTTACGAGCTCAGTGTTTTATGTGATTGCGAAATCGCGTTGATTATTTTCAATTCAAACAATAAGCTTGTTCAGTACGCGAGTACAGATATCGATAAAATTTTACTGAAATACACCGAGGTAATTACCGCAGTAATGAAATTAATGAAAATAGCTTATTAAATAATTTTATTAAATTTTTTTTTTTTTTTGTTTTCCTTTTTTTTTTTGTTCTGATAGTATAATGAACCTCATGAAAGTAAAGGCAATCACGATGTAAGAAAATTTATTCATAATATAATATTTCTTATCAATATTATAACTATAAGTAACTTTAATAACATTCTTTTTTCTCTTCAGTTTGCCAACACAACAGAGGATGATGATAATCCTCCACCAGGATTCGATACTACCAATGACCACAAGGTTTGTTTTTTTTTTAAAAAAAATATATATATATAAAATTGACGTGTACTATATGTACTAATATATAATAAATAATAATAGCGGTTTGGTATTCCGTCTCCACAACCAACTTATCCACCACCGCAAGTATCCGTTCCCTATTCAATGGGAAATTATGCGATGTTCCAGTCTCATCAGCATCAACAATTTATGGTAAAAAATTATTATTATTATTATTATTATTATTATTATTATTTTTAAAATATATATATATATATATATATATAATATATCAACTTTCAAATATAGGCACAGCAGTTTTATTCTCAACAAGCTATGGATGCTATGTCCTTACCAATGACTAATGTAGCCCTTCAGGTGCCTGTCAGTGTCGCCCCTAATGTGGCTGTTAATTTGCCTACAAACATGTCATCACCTCAGTTACCAGATTCTAACGCGTCAAGTCTAACCATGTCACCAACTCCGTCACATATTGAGACGTCAATTAATGGTGACATTTTGTCACCTTCACTCATATCTTCCTCTCCAAAAAAGCCAAAACTTCGTGTTCACATTCCAGAAACAAATGAAAACCAAGGTGCACCTATAGGTCAACAGGCAGATACATCTCCCATTCTAGATGAGCCACCATCCGATTCGCAGCAGTCACTGACACTACAACCTGTAAGTTGTCACCTTTAAAAAAATACTGTTATTAATATATATATATATCCTTGTTATATCACATATTTATGTATATTTTTTTTATCAAGTTGCAAACATCTCGACCTCCAACTTCTGCAGATTCAGGACCAACATCTGGTTTAACATCACAATTCTCGCATAGTTTACCATCGCCATCAACATTTTTTGAGTTTTACAAAACAGCCGAATTACCTAGTCCAATTACTTTTAATAATACACCTACTAGCGCTAGTCCTGGAGCTTTTCATTGGCCAATTCCTCGTAATTATCAGCATCAACCTTCACCATTATCAAAGCATGAATCTAATTCTAATTTGCCAAAGAACCGTCCTATACCAACGGATAGTGATGAAAACAGTGAACCAGAAAGAAAAAAGATGAAACAATAAATGAAATAATGAGTAAATCAGGCAAATTAAGTAATGGAGATAATTAATGGAGACAATTAATATAATTTGTGCAAACAATTCCAATTAATACTTACTATATCATTTAATTATATTTATCTCTAATATTCATATATACAGTCAACTCGATATAATGAACTCAAGTTCGATATATAAAACATAGTAAATTACTATATTATATAACGAACTATTTTAAAAACTTTTTTTTAATATAAGGACCATTCAGTTCATTATAGAGTTGATTGTACATAATTCATTCGATTTTTTTCGTTTTCTTTTGGTATTTCAAAAAACTTTCTAGAAAGTCATTTATTGACTTAAAAAATATTGAACATTGAAATCAAAATCTTTTTAATATCGTTAAAAAAAGCTAATCGGCAAAAAAAAAAAAAAAAAAAATTTTATTGGGTTTGTTTAATCAATTATGCGTGGGTTAATGTGGCGGGTCAGGGACTTTAAAAAAAAAAGACATTTACAGTATATTCTTTACTGTATATATATGTATATATATATATATATACCTTTTATCCACCTGTATTATAATGAATCTCTTTCCCTTTCTTTTTTATAATATACTTTATTTTTTTTTTCTTTTATGTTTTCATTGAATTCTCTTCTATGATTTTTTTTCTTGCGTCAGGGGTTTTAAATTAGTAATATTTTAACTTTTTAATCAATTACTGAATTATCAAAATAGATTATAAATAAGCAAATCATAAATTTTATACGTAGTTATCAGTTATGTAATTAACAAATATTTTTTTTTCTCTGACGGACATTTATATAACTAGTTTATTATTTTTTTTTTTTTAAGTAAAAGTTACAGTACTAGGCAAAAAAATATTCGTTTATTAATAATAAAAAAAAAAAAAAAAAATTTTTTTTTTGATTTTGAGTATTAATTTAGATAGAATCATCCTTTTTTTTTTTATTGTTCAGATATTCTCATTGATAACGATTTAGTACTCAAATTGACGTGATTTTTGATTTCGCTTTGAAAAAAAAAATTCACATGAATTTAAAAAAAAAATTTTCTCATAGTTGACCTGCATATCTGATATTTGCCATTTCACTAAATTGGTTATTAATTATCGTTATTTAAAATTACCCAATAAGAAATATAAGATCCTTGTGTTGTTTCACTAATATATATTTCTGGATCCACATACCCAGATACATACTCGATATTGTACTCGGTACATATGTACGTCATATGTAGTACCAGGTACGTATGTCATTATCGGAAATATCGGAAATATTTTCCACACTAACGCGATAGTATTCGTTAATACGTTATAGTACGTACCATACTAACTATATACTACGTAATATTAACGTAATTCTAATATTAATTATTTAAATATTGCAACTATTCCTTAAAATCATTGAAAGAATTATTTGATTTCCGCAATTCAAATTGAGTTAGGAGGGGCAGAAAAAATTTTATAAAATATAGTAAAAAATGTGGGCCGTGCGGAGGTCGGCAATATAAATATATATATATACGGTAAGTATCAGGCACGTCTAGGCCCTCCCTTCCCCCTTTGATTTAATAATTCTTTCGAAAAAAAAAATTGCAAATGTTATAATATTATACTTTAAATTACTGCGCAAAGATTTTGAGGAGTAGAATTTCCTATTCATGTTATCATAATAACGGAGCCATATTAAGCATATAAGGGTATCGTATTACAGTAATATAACCATAATAGTTATTATAGAGATAATTTTATCTATTCTATAAAAGCAATACATGCGCATTTTATGAGTCCGAAATTGGAAAATATATAAGTACCCGTAAATATAACTCATATGTTTCAAAAGAGATCTTTTTAACAAGCTTTTTATACGTAAAAAAAAAAAAATAAAAAAAATATGTCTGACATATTATCTAAACCACAAAATATCCAACTTGAGGCCACTCCTGTAGATCTATCTCCTTTAGATATACCACATTATAAGGATATTTGTGCTTTTACGATTGATAACGTATGTACTCCTGAGGAATGTGCCGCTCTCATCAAACTTTCTGAAGAAGGAGGTTATGAACCAGCATTAGTAAATGTTGGTGGTGGTCATCAGGAATTAATGACAAATGTAAGAAATAATGCACGTTATATTAGAGATGATTTTAAACTTGTTTCAGATTTATGGTCAAGAATATCAAAATTTATTCCAACTACATGGGGAAAAGATAAATTTCCTGTTGTTGGATTAAATGAAAGATTAAGATTTCTTAGATATGATCCTGGTGAACTTTTTAAACCACATCAAGATGGATCTTTTCAAAGACCTAATGGTTCAGAAACTACTTATGTAACTGTACAATTATATTTAAATGAAGAAGGATTAGAAGGTGGTGAAACTTCATTTTTAAATTTTACAGGAGATAAAGTAAAAGTTACTCCAAAAACAGGAATGGTATTAGTTTTTGAACATCTTTTATTTCATGAAGGTTCTGAAGTTTTAAAAGGAAGGAAATATGTTATACGAACTGATGTTTTTTATAAAACTGATAAATATCGAAGATTAACTTAATCATTTTTTTTATATCAGATATTGTACGTTATTTAACGTTATCATTATTTACATTTTTATTAATAATTATAATGATAATTTGTTTTTTGTTTATCGTTATTGCATAAAAAAAAAACTTCATTTAGAAATAAAAAATACTCACAGACAAGTATAGTTCATATAATAAAGTAACTCTTGACTAAAACTAGATCTAGCGCCAAAGAGGTATTCTATTATACTTAACCTGATTTGTTGATTATCCTTTGATTTTCATCAGTTCATAATGACTTGATGAATGACTTGATGATCTACTGAATTGTTGATAAAGTTTTATACGTTATCATTGTTGTTCATTCAATGTCTATCATTATTGATTCCATATCTAATTTGTATCATTTTCTCGTGTGCCTTTTACGGATATAAATTTTTATTGTTGCCACTCTCAGGTTCTAACGTGACTATGAATTTTAGTATTTGTAATACAATTTAATACCCCAATTTAATGATTATAATAGATGAAATGGTCAACTATGAGAAAATTTTTTTTTTAAATTCATGTGAATTTTTTTTTTCAAAGCGAAATCTAAAATCACGTCAATTTGAGTACTAAATCGTTATCAATGAGAATATCTGAACAATA